AATTGACTGATGTGAGACAGTTCGCACATACTGTCGTATTCCGTGAAACCGTATATATATCATATTTATCATCGTTCCTCTCTGGTGAGTTGCCGAACAAGATGGATCTGTGCATAGTTCACAAACTCAGTATAGTGCGTTTGGGCTGCTAATACTTCACAAGCTCTCTCTTTTGCAGTTGCATACGAAAGATTGTTTTGAGAATTTGACACTACTGTTTCAACTGTAAATGAAACAGTTTATCGCATTCACTTCATCACGAACCGTTTATTTTAGTTCCATGGAGGGAGTACAGATGTGATGATATTGATCGCAATTGATTAGTCTTTACAAGCTGGAGCATCTAAAAAGAGATCGATTGACCGGATAGCATAGTTCATCCCTGGAATCCCTTCGACACTGTGAACAAGAACGTAAAGTGACAAACGAGCTCGTTTTTGGTGCATCATAATAATGCCAACTGTTGGATAGTTTAATTACTTTCCTCCTTCTCTTTCATGGGATCCTATCTGTAACTAGTCACATAAAATGTTTTGTAACGGAATGAATAAGATGGACGGAAACCAGCTTGTTGGCCAATTAATTTTCTCATCACGTTTTCTGTGGGACTGCTTGATCATCAATTGATTCAGAGGGTAAACTCTTACCAAAGGCTTTTCACTCGGATAGATAGATGGCGGCAGTAGGATGCACTAAGTGATTTTCAGGGAAATCGAACCCTGAACGTTAGAAATAGTTTCTACAGTCTAACCTGATACCATTGCGTAGACATCCATGAGTTTGTGTGCACTTGTACGAATGAAAGAATCTAGAGAGATATTATCAAACCGTTCTTAGTTGCACTGTGGTTATCGTTGTCCTATATTTCACTAACGACTGATATAAAGGTCTAACCCCAAGAAAATAACGAGTTGATTTCCTACTTCCGACGGTTATTGTCATTTTTAATGTTGGACGTTTTCTCCATGCCATCAGAGTTTATGAAACATACCGTCAAACTTTTGTCGTTTGCTGATTTGGCAGAAAGGTGATTTTGGGTACATTATGTCTACCCGTCGAATGTGAGTGAGGTGGCCTTTTTTAATACACCTACTGGTCAATCTATCCTACAAAGTAATCATTTTCTCCCGAATATTAGTTAGTGGTTAGTTCTTCAACTGCTGTACTGTAAAACCCTGTTTTTACTATCTGCAATCCGCTACCGTTTGGGGTTGAGGAATTAAAAACTAAACCGATCTTGGGAAAGAATCCTAGAGCTAAAGTGATTTTAATCTGTGATCATTTGTTCAATAATATAACTTTATTCGGATACATTATTCAAGCTGTTACTATTATTGGAATTCTATGGGTGCATGCGCGTTCAACAGCTGTTATACGATTGGCTGTTAACAAGGTCACACGCTGAACTTCGATTGGTTGATTTGTCCCTGATCAAGCAAACAACATCAGCCCTAATCTGTCAAATCATGCTTACTCCTGCATGGTTTTGTCGAAATACAAAGAGTGGATACACGTCAATAAACTTGATAACTAAACGAATTTTCAGGTGAAGTCACTGACTACTTCATAGTGATTTTTTGATTCATCCGTTTGAATTTTATGAATGTTATGCACTTTTATGGGCTCAACAATCATTAGCGTTCATTAGGTAGGACCTAAATGTATTTTTGATTTGGGAACGTCCTGAGAGGAGGAATATTATACATATATCGTGCATTATTTCGTATCCCCACAGATTTCAATATGGATGGGTCTATTGCAGGTAGCACTGTGATGCGATTGGTCAAAATAATTTAGTTATTTGTAAATGAGAAAAATGACCGGGAAAGTATGAAAACGTTGTCAGCATCTGCTAACACATGTGAACCACAGCAACTAAGATGATTAATACAGGACTTGGAATCCGGCGGCGGATAACACTATCCGATCAAAATGAATTTAAAGAAATTTTTACCGTAATTTCACTCAACCATGTGGCAAAAACCATTTGGCATGGTTCATGATTCGTCCGAGAGTTTGAAAGATTGAAACACGAAATGAAAGGTAAAACTCTTAAGCTGTATTCCTGGGCTGTCCAAAACATGTATCCGGTAAGCTATAACACAACCGCGCTCTCGATAAACGTATCATCGCCCTGGACCCCAAACACAAACAGCATGGCCGTATTGCCAGAAAGTTTTCTTGAGTACCCGGCAAAAACTGATATGCCAATCATTTTTCTACTTCGCCATGTCACTCCAGTAAACGGTCATTATCGCTTTTTTAATGTAAGATGTCCCCATAGTAATTTGTGATGGCCCAGTGTCAATCTAAGGTTTCCGGCATCCATTACCATGTCCGTGTTAAAATTTTACGGAGCTTACACTCAGATGACTGACGAATCACTTCCAATAACAATTTTGCATTGTACTATACTATAGAGCTTGTATAATAATATACTGTATCGCACTATTTTATACTGTAATTAAAAGAAAGCAGAGAAATGCTTTTCCTCTGTTTGACCCCAACCGTCATACAGAACAATAATTGTCAGTCGGCTACTAAATTATCTTCTTCTTCCTCCATCTGTTTCTCTTCCCCCCCCACCCCTCTCGTTCTAATCCATTCAGGTACATCAATTCTATCCGCTAGTTGAAATCAACTGTTCCGAGGATTTACGCCTATTCCTGTGCAGTATGTACACACCAATTTGTCTGCCCAACTGGCGCTATCGTCTGACCGCATGTCGTTCATTGTGTGAGAGTGCACGGGATGGATGCATGCCTGTGATGCAAACCTACGGTTTTGGATGGCCCGAACGAATGAATTGTGATCTTCTGCCCGAGGGGGTACGTTTTCTATTTGGATTGCTATTACACGATTACGTCACCATGGGAATACCATTAATCAATGATGGGAATGTCTATCAAGCAGATTCCGAATTCCGGCACTGCTGTCCTGTCCAAGTGTTACTATTTCATCAAATTCATTCCTAGAAAAAACAACAATTATGGGTCCCAAGCACTCTGGTTCTCAGTAATGGGGATCCACCTAAAAAAACCTGTAGAGTGAAATGTAGAAAAAAGCGATACCCAAAAAACAGAATTGGACATCTGTTTGTCCTTGTTGGAGCCTATTGAAAATGCTTGATATTTTTCCCTGCCCGGACTCTAGCTGCAAACCTTCGTGCTGTGAGTTAAAGTCCCCAATCCTAGACTATTTGGTCGATGGATAGCACATTGAGCTGCTTTGCTTACTTGGATTAGACATTTCATTTTGTTGCGCATATAGATTTCCAGATATATATGTCTATGTTCTCACTCACTCACTCACTCACTCACTCACTCACTCACTCACTCACTCACTCACTCACTCACTCATTCACTCACTATGTCGCGGTTCAATGGTTCCGTATATTGCGCAGCATTTCGAACGCAATGGAAGTTTGTGTAAGATAACTCTCGGATAACTACGTTTAGAGCAGTATTTTATGCAATTATTGAACTTGTAAAACTAAATACGAGAAAAAATTCGTTCGTACCTCAAATATCTGAGTATTCTATCAAAAGTGCACTTGTCAATCCGTTACAAAGCTGAGTTACATCAAAAGAGACGTATTTTGTGTGTGTGTAACGGCGCTGCCGGGGACCAGATGAAAAAAGTACGATTTTTTCGGCACTTTACGAAGTTTTGCAGTCAATCGATCAATAGCCTCCACTCTGTACTGGTCAAATCAACGCTGGTGCATGATGCGCTTTAGGCACTTTAGGCGATTATGAACACTACACCCCCCCCACCCCCCCCCCCCCCANATACAATGGAGATGTACTATAGATTAATCGTGTCACTGCACAGCTAGCATCCAGTTAAAGAATGTTCGTATGTACGAATTTGACACAACCGATAGCTACGTTTATCGCTGTTTTTCATTGATCCGATACTCGGCAGAGGTATGTGTACTTGAGGTAGCTTGATGTAGAATGAAACTAAAATAGAGATGTACAAATCAATTCTGTTAGTGTTTCCATGTCACCGTAGAGCTGACCGGAAAACAGACAAGGATACAAAAATTCTCAACCTTAGTAGACTGATTGGTCTTCAGGTATAACTATCGCGATGGGATGATGATGGGAGCTGTATTGCATCGGGATGAGAGGGTAAAATACGCTCGGAATTATCCCGTCGTTCATTCTCTTCAATTTCCTTTTTTCGAAAGTATAATTTCCTACCGGCAACTTCAACTAAGATTCATCAAAAATCTTACACCGTTACCACTAGTCGTTTTATTGATAACAACGTTATGCTGTGCCGAGCCACGCGTTATTTCAACTCACTTTCTCAAAGGGGAAATTCGTTGTGCATATAACAAATAAAGCGGGAATTGAAGAGCTAGGAAGCACTAGACAGCTGTATCTACCTGGTTGGGTCTCATCAGCAGTGCGAATCCATTCACACAACTGGAGATGAAACCCGGGACCTCACAGGAAGAAAGCAAGCATGCTGCCCACTCGGCCACGGGGCAGCTGATCAGAGAGTTTGTCATTTTCCATTCACACGATATAGCATAATTCAGTCCTTGCGAGCTTGTTGAGGGCATCGCGCTTCGCTCATCTCAGCACTGGCCTCCAACCGAGTCATAACACCTGATGGGTTGGTTATGCATCAAATCCTCCATTACTCTCATGTAATTAACATTCGGTCAAAAATTCCCGTTATTTCGAAGGTAAAATAGGACACATTAATAAGGTTGTCCTTTTGGGTTCAACCAATTATACATCCATTTGATCGCGTGTACGTGTGTTTGGGTATTAGTAAGTGTGTGATCAGTTCAGGGTATCTACGTTTAGACTGTATCAATATCGTTCATTTATCAAGATGACCTTCGAAAGAGTGAATCGGCAAATCATGCCACAGCACAGCACACCTTGCCATATGTAGTCACAATGCTATTTGATGATACGTCCGTCCATCGTACAACGCTGACAACTGGGCAGTGCATCAGTGAACTGACAATATGTGGCTAACAAAAGAGAGAGAGAGAGATCGGACGACTGACGAGAGCGAAAGAACGTGAACGGGTCAGCAGGACCACGATTGTTTCAATCAGCTTCATCAACGGTATCCGATCGATTCTTACACCATGCTGACCAGATGCCGCAACGAACTTGAACGACGCAGCCCACGAGTATGAAAACCTCCACCTAACCCCACTCCAATCCCCAACCCTAAATCTAAACCACGCTCAAGCTTCTCATTCACCCCCTCCTTTACCCTCTGCCCTATCTTGCCCATGGCCATTTTGCCGTTTAGTTTAACACACACGAGGGGACGGTGTGTATGTGTTGCGGTGGGGGATACAATCTGAGCGGCAGTCTAAGCGGGGTAGATCGACACATTTGACCAACAGCAATTGTTTACTTCTCACATGTACGCGTACCCATATCGACGAGCATACAGACGTACGCGCACTCACACAGACCCGGAAACACATGCTTTGGCACATACACACACACACACGAACACGCGCGCACAAGCAGATGCTTGCCCACATGCGCATGCAGTTTCGTTCTTCCTACTTGTCGTTCTGACAGACAAGCTGTCGTTTTACCAAACTCCTCAGTTTGTTTTTTCGCCCCAGGCTAGAGTTGGTCCATGTTGGGATATACAGAGTTTTGGGTTCGGTGAGCCGATTGGGGGAAGAATGATCCAATTGTGTACCGTGCATGGATCAGTGCTGCTGCTGCCATGCTTGATGATGATGCATAACAGTATCCAGACCCGTGCTAGCACGTGTGTCGGCCGATAGAACCCCCATTTCAAGGGTAAATCGAAAGTGACATCTTTGTCAAACTGTCCAGCACGATAATACACCGCACGGCGGACAGGCGAGGAGAAAGTGATGTTACGGTTGAACAGAGAATAGTAGCTGATGGATAAGCTTTGCTTTGATGCTCTGATATGTTACTGAACAGGGTATGCGGGGCAGTGAATGAGTTGAAATATCGAGTTGGACATTTTGGACACATTTATTATGATGTAATCCACTTTCAGCTTTGTGTCAAAAATGCTCGCCTACCAGGTACACAATCTTACCCTGACACGTGAGTACTGGATTGGTTCTATCTTGAACCACTGAGTGATAAGCCCTTTGTTCACCACATCCTCCGGCAAGCGTGCTTCAACCGTACCACTGTATCTCAAACAACCAAGCCATGTTTTCTTTGTTTGAAAAGAAAACAACTATGCCCGATCATGATATGATTGGTGCGGTATGTTTCTTTACTTGCCTGTGAGATCATCATTCGGCTCGTACATAATCACCCGGTTCTGACAATTTTTCGAACGCGAGCCAGTCTTCTTCGGTCTATCAATCCACCTTTAGCGGACATCTAATCAATTCAATCCCACTGCTACTACTATATTGTAATCCGTTTGCTGTATACAGTCAAATCGAGCATGTACTGCTG